CTCCTTGTTGCTCCAGAGCCGTTTTCCTGCATGTGCCATCATTTGATCCTGGCTGGGGCAGCGTTTCCCCTCTCATGAGCCACTGGGGTGGGTCAGGCTGGACAGCGGTGGTGCTGCTGGACCTGGAGCTCGGTGTGTTGTGTGAGTTGGAGGAAGCAGCTGTGGCAGTCCTTGAACTCAGCTCTCCTGTGCTTCCAGGGGGGCCCTGCCCTGCAGCAGTGAGGGCAGTGCTGGCAGAGGGGGCTCACCTGTTCTACGTTCCTCAAGCACTGACCAAGGAGAGCAGGACAGTCTGGGGCACCCCTGCCCCTCGGGTGGGACGGGCTCAGTGATGGGCACGTGCTGGTCAGCTTGGATTCCAGACAGATCCAGGGCAGAGAGCATAGCACGGGTCTTGAGGCTGTGGGGAAAGAAAGGGGGCTCTGACAAGGAGGATGTGACAGTATCAGACTTGAGTCTCCAGCTGCTGAGGAGTTGGATCTTTTACTGAAAAAAATCTGCCACAAATAGACCAAGTTCAGCAAACTCCACCAGTGATTTTCTTCCTCTCTGATGTCCCAGTCGGATGAAGATCTCAGGATAGACTTTTTACAACTGCTGTGTTTCTGCAGACTTGCCTTTTTTGTCTTCCTCTCTCCTCCACATGCCTTCAGCAAATAACAGCTTGAGGACATGAGGAGCTGGGAGTGCAGAGCTGCGTTGGGAAGAGACCAGTGGGGCAGAACATCAACCCCAGCCTTGACTCCGACAAAACCAGCGTTTGCTTGCTTTGCACTTGGAAATAATCTCATGCTTTGCAAAGATTGAAGCTCTAATAAGTAATTTAAACAAAGAGTAGTAGAGGAGAGAGAATCCACATTTAATTCAATTAGCATTGTTGTCCAATGCCATTAATTATGCCCAGACTTGTAATGTGTTTCACAGGAGCTGATACACTCGAGCTTTGTCTGGGCTGGGGTTGACTGAGGACAAGTATGTCCACTGATGGAGAATTCAGCCTTTGTGCTTCGCAAAACCCTTCAGATGTGGGATCTGACAGTAGCCTGGAGTAAGGAGTAGCCAGAATAGCCTGCCCTGCAATCTTCTGAACAAAGGGGATCTCGGGGGGAATGATGATTCGATGTGCATGTACATGTTTTCAGTATTCTTGAAGAGGGACTGCTTTAGTGGAAATAATAATCTCCTGCAATTTTATATTATTTCCAGACTGTTTAAAATTGTTCCATAGGCAGAGAATAAAGAACTTTGTTTACTGTCTCAAGGTAGGATGTCTGATACTCCTGGGGGAGGTTATTCTTTTATTAAAACAGATATAAAATAGCTACTTTGATGGAAATACAACTCTAGGAATTGAAATGGTGATGATTACAGAAGCTGTAGTATTCTAATGCAAAATAAGCCCTAGGAGATATGTGTGCCCTAAATGGCGAATCACTGTTCTTTAACAAAACAAGAATTACTGTTATTTTATGATTCTTGCTTATTTTACAAGGTCTTTAGCTGTTTCATCTGCACTTAACTTTTACGGGCTGGGGATAAATTGATTGTTGCTTTGTGTTTTTAAAGCACACTGGAGATGCAGATCAGCAGGATAGGATTCATTTGGTCTCAAAAAGGCAAAAGCAGAGGGAGAAGTCAAGACTGCTGACACTGTGTGCAATAATTGCACTGGAATCTCTTCCCGTGATTTGGTGGCGTTTTGTAATCTTGGAAGAAGCCAAAGATTATTATTTGAAAAGGACTTAATGGATAATGCTTAACAGTCTGCAGTGGGGGATATCACACTGAACTGTGTGTGTTTCTTGCAGGAGAGCTCTTGTGGTCGTTTCAGGGGGTGTGTGTGATCCCTGAGGGCTCTGCAGATCTCCCTCTAGCAGGCAGGGAAGCACTGGTAGCGTCATTGCTCAGGGGTGCCGTGTTCCAGCCTTACCCAGCTCCTGTTTTACTTTGGGTAATTGGGCTTACCTGCCAAACGGGTGGAATTCGAGATGCTGAGGTGTGTTTAGCAAAACACCCGTCCTAAAAGCTGGCTTAGAAGCTGAGCACAGAGGAAGGTGGTTGAAAGGGGTAATGTGTCCCAGTTTCTGCAGTTTGTGTTGACCTAAAATCCTTAATGACGGAGTCTAAAAACAGATAACAACATCTTTGCATCTCTTCTGCGTTAATGTTAGCTTGTGACAATTCCACCTCAGCGATGTAGAGAAACTGCTGCGTTTGGAGATCAAAGAACCACCTCCTTCAGTAATTCAGGGAGTGAGCTGATGATGGCTGTCCTCTTTGCTCACTGCATTCCTTCCAAGCTCTACACACAGCAAGAGGGACACACAGAAGATGCAGTCTGGTTACTTGTCTGTGTTGGGAGATATCTGCCTTGAACTTGGCAAGCTTTTAGGCTTTCTGATGCTTAGGACAGTCTCTTGCTAACAGTGGGTTTCTCTTGTAGGAATGCAGATCTGTCCCACATCTCCCTCGTTCTTCATTTTAGAAGCAGCCAGAGGATAAAAACTAGTGCAGTGCTCATTTAAAGTCAATATGCTCTACTTTGCAATTTGCTCATGTGTAAGTGCCCAGCTTTTAAGGTTTCCTTTGCCCACAGGCAGTCTGAATACAAAGGCAGACTATTTTTATTTTCTTTAATAAAGAGAAAGTATTGCAAAGGTTCAAAGAGCAAAATATTTCTTTCCACCTTCCATCTCCTAGGGTTTATTGTCACAAAACAGAGTTTGCCTCTTAGAAGTCCAGAGGGGAACGAAGAGATATGGGCAGCTCGAGTGCAGCTGGAAGTGAAGGTGGTGGATGAGATGTGTGTGTGTGCCTGTGTGTGTCAGAGGAGTGGGAAGGGCCCACCTTGAAGCAGTTTTGGCACTCGAGGAGGAGGAGTTCTACAGGGACAGGGTGTGATGGAAAAACCCTCTCTACACGTACCTGGTTCCTCTGTTCTTGGCAGGGCCGGGTTGTGTGAGGGTGGGTGGAAGTTCTGGGTCTCTGCTGTATTGCAGTATTGTGTAAATTAGTCTCTTTAGAGGAAAGCTTCACTGTGGGGTGGGAAAAAAGGAGCTGCAGTCAAAATACAATACCTCCTAGAAAAATGGGGAGGTCAGTGTGTTTGTTCCTGGAGCTGGTTCCCTTCTGAAGCTGGGGGCAGAGGACACAATGTGACATCTGAACCTACCAAAAAGGATTCAGCATGTATCATGACTTATTTGCCGTTAATGATTAAATACTGCAGATTGGAAGGAGTGATTTTCTGTAGGGTTTCAGAAGCCTTATTCTAGTTGATTGATTGTGTTCCCCGAGTTACTCTGTGGTTCCAGTAGAAATGGAGGTAGTGCCTGCTTACATCACCTCTGGTGATCCGTTCCTCACCTTGGAGGGCTGTCCACGTTGCACGTTGACTGAGATGGTTGCTGGAGGCTCGTCATCATATCTTGGTTAATATTAGTGCTTACCTGAAAATGAGAGCGGCTTCCTTCCTTCCAGAAGGTCAGAATACAGCTGTAAATCCAGGAAAACTGAACAGGCATATCTCAGCTTGTTTAAAAGGAAATATATATCATGGAAGAGATAAATGTGGAGCTTAATGAGGCCTCAGTAGCTGGTTCCTGCTCAGCAGCATAAGGTCACTGGGGGCCAGTCCAAAACGTGGCCCAGCAGAAGGGTCAGTCTGAAGAAGATGGCTCAGATGAAATGCAGTTTTTCTAAGTAAAATGCTGCGAAATACTGTGTAGTTCTCTGATGATGAAGCTGCTCACATGTGGAGAATATTTAAACTTTTATGTAATTAGGCTCAGCTCATGCATGGCAACAGTTTCATCCCAACCATTTTATTTTCCTGTGATGTGAAGAGAGTATATTGGATTTGTCCATAGTGTTTTCTTTGGGGAGAGTGTGCTCCCTTGGCAGTTGAGAGCTCCATGTCATTATTTTTTGGTTTTAAAATATATATATATAAAATGCATTTGTGTGTACATGTGTGTATATATTCAGTCCTTAATAAAGGATGTTCTGTGAGTGCCTGTTTGACAGGGGGTGCCAGCAGCAGCCCAGCTTTGGCTCTGAGGTCTGTGTAGGCAGATTCCTTCAGGGTTGCACTGAGATGAGCAGTCTGTCGGTTCATTTTACGTGGCTGAGGATTCAGAACGCTGGGGAAAAGTCTGGCTTCTCAGTGCATAAGCTGGTTCTTTATTGGCCTCTTGCTGTGAAGCTTCTGAAATGTGTTCATCTACCAGAGGAGCTCCTGTGGTTGGTGTGCTGGCACACACAGCTGCAGGAGGAGGAGGAAGGTTCAGATGTTGGTGCTGCCGAGCAGCAGAGTGTTCTCTTTGGGCAGCATCCCTGCAAGAACCTGCCTTTCATCTCCTTTCTTTCGGTTTAGTTTTCATTATGTTGTCTATCTGTTATAAATTTTAAATGAGCTTATAACCAGTTAGACCTTCTGGACTTAGCGATGTGGGAAGGGAAGCATTTCACCGAATTCAGCTGTTAATCTCTGGCCATCCATTTCTCTTCAGGAAGGGTGTCCATTTAATTGTAGGTGTTGATGCTTTATAGCCTTCTCTAGTCTGCAGCTGTGGTTTTTTATCAAATGGAAAGAAACTTCTAATGGTGTGTAACATTAACTGCTCTGAAAGCCAGTGGGCCTGTTCACTGCAGAACTGAATGAATGTTTTACAGACAAGAATTCCACTCCTCCTATGCTGGGCATCGAAGAGAAGGCTTCAATAAGCGTGTTTAAGTTAAGGTTGTAGTCTGCTGCCTGTAAATAGGAAGTACTTGATAGATGCTTCTCAGGATTTGTTTGCTACATTGAACCCAGTCATACCAGCAGAGTTGCAGAATGCTTCCCTGAGACAGTAAATACTCCTTTCTCTGAATCTGTCCTTGCAAGTTTTTGGGTAAAATGTGGGTTTTTTCGGTTGAGAAATCTGAAATAAATAGAACAGTCACACCATGACAGTAGAAGTGAAAAGTTCAATTTTTTTTTTTACCTGCTTCTTTAGGAACAAAGCCCCAGTAACCAGACTTCGATAGCAATGATGCAAGAGCCTCAAGAAATGGTGGAAGAGACAGTAACTGTGGAGGAAGACCCAGGCACTCCCACTTCCCATGTGTCTATTGTCACTTCTGAGGATGGAACCACAAGGAGAACAGAAACCAAGGTGAGGGGTTAAGAACCAGGGTGGAAAATGGCAGAGTGCCACCTAATCACCAAACAGAAACAGCGGGGAGCAGCCTGAGGGGTGGATCCTCAGGGATTTTGAAAGTTGTGTTTGCCAGCAAAGCTGAGTTGGGGTTTTTCAGCTTCACCTCTGTGTCCAGCTTGCTCCTTATCAGCTCTGCTGATACAGCTCTTCATGGAGCTGTGAACTGAGCAGCAGCAATTATCCAAGTTAACCAAACAAAAACACTGGAACCCCTTCTCAGACTGTTTATTCTGTTAAGATTCACTGTATGTTACTGAAGCAGCTCACAGCATTGCCCTGCAAACACATACAGTGATGGCAGAAAGAGATGATTTGGTAGGGCCTGGCTGAGGAAACTGTGCTTGGAAATGTGTCTCAGATTAGTGATGATCTATAATATCAGTGTGTGATTATGCATTTGTCCTTTAGAGCAAGGAACAGCCTGTGTAAATAACACCACAGCATTTAAATTCTGCACCAGTCTCGGGAATGGCATTTCACTCCTGGTGCACTGGGAAAGCTGGGTGTGCTCTCAAGTGGCTGTACCTCAGGACTGGCTGGATTACAGGTGTTGCATGTGTTCTGATTTTCTCAGTCTCATTTTGTTCCTCCTGTAAGGTGATTGTGCAGTCTCTGCTGAGCAGGTGCTGTGTATTCAGAGCTGCCTCGTGTGCTTTCAGTACGACTGGAACATTACAAAGATTAAGGGTGATTCCCTTTTTAAAAACTTCTAGACAGGATTGATTAAAAGAAAAAAAAAAAAAGGAATTGTCCAACTGCTTTCTGTGTTAAAAGGAGTTGAACAGAGGTCACTGCATAAATCAGTGTTTATTTTTACTGGTGTTCCAGAATCACAGTGCTCTAAGAGTCCTATTCAGGACATCACATCTCCAGGTTGAAGTAAATGAACGTTGATTTCCTGAGGTCAGGTGGGCCTGTACACATTATAATAAACTGAGTATCTGGTGTAATATTTGTTACAGTTAGTTAGAAGGTGAATACAACTGGCCTATTTTCTCACTGTTGGAAGGAGATGAAGCTCTTTAAATAAAAATGAAGTGGACAGACAATAAGACCCTACATTTTTGTTAGCTCTTCAAATAATGTAATGTCTTTAGTTTGTGACTTAGTGAAAGAAATGCTGGTTTCTTCCTGGTGGCAGCAACAACAACTGTTATTTACAGGAAGGACGTGCTAAAATTACAGTGGTGATGGACACCTTTTTACATGTACTAATGGTAGCATGTAGTTTTAGGAGGCTCTAAGAGCAAGGGAATCAAATGATAGCTACAACTGTACAAAGAGAGGAGAGGCCATGCAGTGGTCCCCAGGTCACGGGCCCACTGGGAGCGGAACAGTTGGTGTGGAAGTCGTGCCTCTGATAAAGCTGCCAGTTTGTCGTGGTGGAAGAGGGGCATTTTCCCCTGTGGGTCAGGTACCTCCTATTTCCCATCTTCCCACGGAAAACGACAGTGGCAGCTTCAAAACAGGCGTTGTACCTGCATATGGGAAGGGAGAATTGAGAGAGCAGCAACCCTGGAGCTGCTGTTCCTGTTCAGAGAGCAGGGCTCTCTCCTGTTCCTGTAGCCACTGGGGCACTGAGGTGTGTCCAGCCAGGGGTGGGTGCACAGACCCCTTAGTCAACCTGATGCCTTTAGGATGCATTTTTGGATTCTTCAGAAGGAAATTGCCACTGAATTTTGCTAAATTGTGTGAATCTCTAGCTTGCTGGGGAGCGATGCCTCTGAAATTCTTCCCCTTGAAGTGGTGCCCAGCAGAGGCTGTGAGCGTGAGAGCTGCTGTGTGCTGCTGTTCTTCATTCCCTGCTCCTTCCCCCGTTGTTTCAAACCCGTAATTTATTGAGGTTATTCTTTTCAGAGGTGTATTAAGTAAACAGCCTTAATCTAGAGGCATTGACAGTTCTGCTGTGCTTTACCCCACGTCTTTGAAGATGCCTGTAGCAGTGAAGCAGGAAGAAGGCGTAATAGAATTTAATATTTGACACATTTTAAATGGGGAACATCTGCCTTTTCAAAATGAGGTACTTCGGAGTAATTTTCCCCTACCTGTTATTCTCATAGTGTTATACTGAGTCCCTACATAACATTCACTGCACAAAAGATGTAGCAGATAATACTTCATTTCAGCTTTATAATATCTCTGGAAGCCAAATACCTCTCAAGCTAAAGCAGTGAAAGTCACCTTGGGGACAGACTACCACTTCTAGCTTCTGGCTGGAGCACTGCCAGCTGTTGAAGGGAGCCTGCTGTAGGTGGCTCAGGAGAACTCAGTAAAGCAACTTAGATGTGTGTGTGTTGATGTTTGAGTTTTTTCTTTCTTCGGGCACCTTTTATTTTTATCGTGGAAATGCTAAAAGGTTGGAGGGGTTTAGGTCGCTGATGCTCATTGGAACTGATGTTTTATCATAACAAAATGTGAATTCCAGTGTGAATACAGACCTGTTTAATTTGTAGTCCATCCATTTGCCTTGTGCTTTCCAACACTCAGCAGGTGTGGGTCTTTCCCAGCAGTGGTGAACTGCTCTCCCACCTGCAGCCAGCAGCAACCCTGGTGATGGTGCCAGGCACCCAGGGCAGTGCTTTGAACCTCCCCAGCAGTTCAGGGGACTTGGGTAAGAGAGCAGCAAGGGATTTCAGGCAGAGTTGAGAGCCCTTTCAGAATGTGAAACTTTAGGCTTAAAATTGAAGGGGAGAAATTTGAGCTGTTGTTTTGAAAACCTACTGGGTGAGTTCTTGCCCAGCATTTAATAGAAAGGTAATCACTTCGGTCTGCTCGGTCTGATTAACTTTTGCAGTCTCTAGTTCAAAAATAAGCTCACAGAATGCACCGTAAAAGCTGAAAGGGCTAAAAATTTTGTGGAAATGGCCATAAACAAAAAATCAGATGAGAAGGAATCAGATGAGAAGCTGCTTCAAATGTGTGGATATTTCCTTTATGTTCTGTTGGCAAATGTATTTCCAGAAATAGAATTAATGAAAACATTAGCATGGGGCCTGTAAGGGGATTATTTAATAAAGTAATTGCTGTCTGGGGGTGAGAACAATGGTAAGGTCAGCAAACCTGAAGTGTACTTAGATTCTGGGGTGGGGGGAGCAGCAGTGAAACCACTGACTTGCAGCATCGTAGGATTTGGGTTGCAGAGGGCCTGAATAATTAGGTAGATTGGAACTTTTCCTTTTTATGGTGTAGTTGAAATCTTAATATCTTTACAGGGAATAAAAAATTACAAATATATTTTAAGTCTACTCTGACAGGCTTCTCATAGGGAAGTACTCTGGAGCTTTCATCTGGTACTCAGAGACTGTGGCTTTGAAACAATTGAGCATCTTTGATTCGTCATCAGCCTAAAAAACCCTTTTAAGCAGGGTTTCTTTAGATGGAAAGTAAACAGAGGAAGTCAAATTGCACTTTCTCAAAGTAACTTGTATCTCTAAATTTTTCATTAGAGCATATCTGTAGGGAGGAATTTATGCTAATAGATCTCTCTCAAGATTGGGTGCATCTGGAGGATTGGGTGTCACAGATAACAGCCTGCTGGGACTCCCACTTGGAAGAGCTTCATTCTCCCTGGCTAATGCATCAGTATTAAGGAAACCACAAAAATGCTGGGAGAGAAGGCTGCTATACTGTCAGCTTCTCAATCTGCCTGTGTTCTTTTAAGAAATAGAAATGAAGCGTTCCCATGAGCAGAATTTTCCTGGAATAACCATGTTTGGTTTGTTGGTTGGGCTTCGTTTTTTGCTTGGAAACCTAATAAATGGACCTTCCTCTGTGTGCTGGCTAATTGCTTCCAAAAGCCTCCCTTTATTGTCCTGTCAGCAACAAAGTCTGTTTATCACATGATAAATCTTCTGTCTCAGTGCCTATCCCTGACAAATGAGGCATGAGTGCAAATACTCCGTCTCTCAGAATCTCTGATTGCCCCACCACAACACCTCCAGCATTGCTGAATGCTTTTATGCTGTGAGAAATGTCTGCTTTAATGCTTGAGTGAAATGTTCCTTTCTCTGTGTGTGACAAGGGGATTTTGATTGTGCTGATCCTTTCTGTGGGCTAGTAGGTGCAGCACCCAGAAAACAAGAAGTGAGGCTGTGCCAGTGTTGTAGACTTGTTCTTACCTGTGCTGGCTGATTGAAGTGTGGTGTTCACTGTCCACAGCTGTTGAAAGCGTGTCTGTGCTGGTCTTGAAGAACAGTGGAGAGGACTGCTGTGCACAGGTAACAGACAGGAACCTGGGTCATGACATAAGTGTTTAGTTTCTAGTTTCCTCTCTTCTAGTTATTAAACTGGTGCATTTTAGAGAAGGGATTGAAGATTCAGGGACGTGGAAGGGGCGTCTTGCTTGGTGTGCACGCGCTAAGGCAGGGCTGGAGAGGAAGGTTGGTTCAGCTCTGGCTCCCGGCAGACACCAGGGCGGTGCTGGTACCTGGCTGTGCTGTGTTCAGCAGCGAGCTGCTGGTAATCACACTGCTGCTGGAGAGCCATTTGTGCTGTTTCAGCCTTGGAGGATTTCATTACTTCATTACCTTGAAGTATCATTTGCTCACAGATGTCTCTAGGAAAAGAAATGCTGTTTGGGTGAATTTTTTTTCTGTTTGGGGTTTCTGTGTGAAAACATCTGTCTAGAGGACATGTCTGGAGCCACTTCAAGACATATACTCTAATTATTTTGTTTTGCAGCAGCTTGGCTTATCTGTTGCCAATCTAAATGTTTAAATTGGAGGCTATAGGTCAAAATATCTATTTGGACTTCAGAGCCATTGGGTGATCCAGGCTTACATGTTCTGGTTACCATTTCTCTTGATACACACATTTCATTTTGTGTTGTGATATTTATGCTAATTGTGGTAGGATGGGCTGTGGCTCCTCAACATCATAAAGTCATCTAGGACAGAATGTCTTCTGTAAACATTTTGGGTAAGTTGGAACTGGTGTAATGAGTTTGCAGTGCTTCCATGCACTGTCACAAGTCTGCAGTGATTTTGATTTGGCAGTAAGAGCCCAGAGTGCACTCAGCTCTGGCTCTGGAATGCGTCTTTCAGCTTTTATTGGAAATATTTGTCCACTGTTAAGTCCAGAAGCTACCGGGTGAGCTCGCGAGTGCGCCAGGGCTCCGTTCAGTGGGTGCATCGCTGCAGTTGCTTTGTGGCGCTCTCCCTATTTCGCTCTTGCAGCTCCCCGTGTGTCCCATCACACGTGCAGCGAGGAGGAGATTAACACTGTACTCCCTGCCTCTTCCCAGGTTACCAAAATGGTCAAGACGGTCACCACCAGGACAGTGCGTCAGGTGCCGCTGGGGCCGGACGGGCTGCCCTCCATGGACGGCTCGTCCCCCATGGGCAGCTACACGGACTCCATCGACAGGAGGTTCCTGAAGAACGGGGAGCGCTACATCACCCCCCAGGCGTCCTCCACGCTCACCAGGTCCTACAACAGCTACAACGACTCCTACCCCGAGAGCCACGAGGGCCAGTACCGCCCGTACCTGGGCCACGACGGCTACGGGGAGCTGTCCGACAGCTACGGCAGCCTGTCCCGCGGCGTGGGCTACCGGCCCCGCTACGCCTTCGTGCCGGGCAGCGCCTACCGGCCCGACGACGGCAGCTTCACTCTGCCCGGCAGAAGGGACAACTACGCCCCCGTGGCACAGCCCCAGGTGCCCGTGGGCAGCAGCGCTGACCTGAACCGCTCCCAGCCGGAGCGCTTCCAGCCAGAGCCCTACGGGCTGGAGGACGACAACCGCAGCCTGGGAGTGGATGATGAGGGCTACGAGCTGGACCCTGACTACTCCACTGTCAACAGGAGGACGTCCGCAGCTGTGCCAGAGAGAGGGAGACCCCACAAAGGAAGGTAAGACCCCTCTGTTCTTCGCAGTGCTAACCTGCATCTTACTCGATCGCGTTCAAACCGTTAATGATCTGGTAGGTTCTGGGTTATGTGACAGAAAAACAGGTTGCCCGTATCATTAGCCCATAAATGACTGCAAAACACACACAGAGTACAGAAGAGAGTGAGGGTAGGGCTCAAGAGCCCTTTCACTGTGTTTCTGGGCAAACTGAACAGAATCAAACACTTGGAAATTGTCATCTGTATTTAAAAAAAGAGGCAAAAACCCAGTGAAAAGGTATCAAGATGTATCTCCCAGAGCACCCTTTCAGTCCCTTGTGATGTCTTTGACCTTGCAATCTTAGCCACCAGTGGAACCACATCCATGTTTTAGGGGGCTAAAGGGAATTACTTGCACCCAGTGGGTGCCAAAATACTGAGCAATCTGCCAGATTTTAAATTTGTATTAAAATTCTTCAAACTGTATGCAAGATGAATAATTAAAAGTATTCTTAGAACCTACCCATTTGCATTTTAAAAGTTTTTTGGTGGTTTTTAACATCCCTTTGATTTATTGTTCCTTGCAGTTTGGATAGGACCAATTCACAATTTTTCTATTACATTTCCTTTGTTGTGTATTTTTTTCCATATTTAATATGATCAAGAGGCTTTGACAAATAATTAGCCTGAGTGTGGCAGCAAACTTTAGCTGTTGAGAACATAAGATTGTGTGAGGGCCTCTTCATAAGTAGTTACTTTTTGACATTTCAAAGAAATACTTGAACAGTTCAATAAACCTGCATTTCAGATATGCTGCTGATGTGCAAGAAACTAAAGACTACAGTAGTGCTTTGTACTAGATGAGGGTAATTACTAACTTATTATTCCTCTCTAGTTTGTTTTTTTTTTTTAAGTTATTCCTGTGAAAATTATTTAAATGAATGTGGTAAATTGGTGGCATTTCTGATTTCCAAAGTTTGGGTGGGTGAAGCAGGTTTAATACCAACCCTACTGGATGTTGTGCCCTGCAGCAGCTGTCACTGGGCATCCCATCACGTCACAGACAGTGTTCTGCACTGAGCTACTCCCTCCTTCTCTTCCCAGTGGGTGCTGCCCCATTTGTTAATGGTTTAAAGGTAGAAGAAGAACCTTTACTGTCAGTTCCTAGTCTGGAGCTGTTCTGTGAGAGAGGACTCAGTGGAGGTTTCTCATCTGAGTGTGACTCCCTGGGAGAAGGAGGCAGCCCAGCTGTGTCCGGACAGGATCCTGGTCAGGGGCATTACAAGAACAGATTGTTCTTTCCATGCCTTGCCTGCTCCATTTGATCACAGAGATAAACAGCTACTGCACTTTCCTTCTGTCATCACCAGCCTCATTTGAAGCTACTTGTATTTAGTTTTAAACTGGGGAGAAATGTGCCTCCTCACAAACACCCACCAGTGCAGATAAATGCACAAAGGCAGATGTTCCCTCTGTTGGCTCTTCCGTGCTTGTGGCTGGGTTTCTTTCTTGTTTTCTCTTACACTGGGTCTCTGATGTGAGATATATTACTTTCTGCAAGAGTACCTGGTACTTAAAATGTTCTTTCCCTCAGCATGTGCTGGTTTGGTATAAGTCAGGTTGCATAATAAATTGAGGGAGAGAAAGGCACTTGGGGTGTATAATACTGATTTAATATTACCCAGGTTTACTTATGCAGGTAATTATACATCTTTAATTGGGTTTATTACCTTTTTTTTTCTTCTTTTGATGGGTTGCATTTATTATATTAGGAGGTGTTTTACTGGAGTAGCCTTATAATGTTGCTAGATCTGTTAATACAGTCCTTTTCGAAAGAGGAACAGGAAGTACTGGATATTGTTTATTCACAGAAAGCATCCCTACTATTATTTGAATATTTCTTGATTGTTAAATTGAAGTTAACACAGATGACCTGGGAAAAAATGGTAAATCGTAATTCAGCGTGTTTATTTAAATTATCTTCTGTTCAGCTTTTCTTGCCTCTGTGGTAATTCCTTTCCAGAGTGGATCACTGCAGTTTGCACTTGCAAAATCTGGAGCAGCTACTGCCAGTGTTACTGTTCCAGACTAGACAGGATCTAAATTTTTTATGTTGACTAAATCAACAACAAAACAGTTTTCTGCTGTTAAATTTTCCATGTCAGAAGCCTGATCTAAGAGACTGAAACCATGTTTAGTGGTCACTTCATGGCCCAAATTATTATTAGCATGAAATGAGCCAGGTTTTAGATTAAATGGCTGTAACAGTGGGTCTTTGCTGCCTGTGTTGTGTATGGACGTGTGAGAATATGGGTGTCACGTGATGTCAGTCCTCCTTCTCCTGGTGTCTGTGTTTGAATCCCAGATATAAAGGCCTGTATTTGTAGGTAAAAGGTCAGTCAGCACTTCTGTCCTAAGCCCCCTCATTCCGGGTGTACGTGGGCAACACTGGGGTGTTGTTTGGGCCAGGAGCTGTGGACGTGCCAGGCAGAACAGGGCAAAGCAAACACCGTGGTCATGTTGAAAACTCTGGGTTTTTTCTGAGTCTCTGCCTTAGCTGAATGTGCTCTCAGCCCTTTGCTCTTCTGGTGGCAGAAGGCTGGTGTGGCACTCTGGTGTGGCAGGAGGTAACCTGAGTCAGCTCAGCCCCTGCAGTTCTTAGGTGGTTCCAGTCAGGTGGATGTCGGTGTTTTAACCATGTGGCCCATAATTCAGCCTTGTCTCAGCAGAGGATTCACTCCTGTTTCGGATCCTTTCCTCCATCCTCTCAGGGAACAGAGCCTGGCAAAAGTAGAACCTCAGTCTCTCAGAGTCTTCCCGTTTCCTCTTCAATGTTTGGCACAAAGATCCCCACTGAAATCCCAAGCCTTTCTGGTCCTTTATCCACAGCAGACGCCAGCTGCAAACTGGGATGAATATAACACTTGTAGAAGTTGTTGAGGATTAAATGTTTAAATCCCTCACCTGTTTACTCAAATGTGCCTGTGCTGAAGCCCTGAGGAAGATGATAAATCCACAAACTCTTTCCCTGTTTTTATCTATGCTAGAATCTGTTTTGATCAATTCCCTGAGACAGGTGATTAGTGAGGCCCATGCCATGCTAAAAACTCAGCTGCCTTGCTCCAGACAGATGGAAGGCAAGATGCTTGCAGTCAGCCAGTCTGGCACACCACCAGGTCTCTTCAGTCCCGGGAGCAAAGAGCTCTTGGCCCCCTGAGAACAGCCGAGTGTATCTGCTGAAGCTCTTGTTAGTCCTGTTCTGTGTCGAGTGGCTTTCCCTTCCCAGCGAAGCTGCTCCGGTGGTGTGAGAGGGAAAATCGTGTTTGGCCTGCGCCAGTGTGACTCAAAAAGATGATTCCTCTCCTTGTGTGTAAGTGTGTGGGTGATCAGGGTGTGTTTAACTCCCTGATAGACACGTGCTTTTGACTTCTTTGCTGTTGGCCAGTCCACCCTTCCCTGTCCCTCGAGCCCGCTGCTCAAGGAGAGGACGTGGCTCGTGGCCCAGACTGCTGGCTCAGTCGGGGTCTGTGGCACTTCTGCCTCTTGCTGCCTCAGCAGTTGTTTTGCTCCTTTCAGACAATCTGTTCTGGTAAACTCCTCCCCTTCAATGCTGTTAAGCAGGGTCAAAGCTGATATTATACAAGGGAAGCCCCGAATATTTCAGCATTTTTTTCCTTTCATTGCAGTATGGTTGGTGTGTGGTTGGTTTTGTTTGGTTGGGGTTTTCCCCTGGCTCTTTTTAACTTTCTTCATTCTTGATAACCGTGTTTAGTCATGTGACTCTTAATTGGTGTGGTACTTGCCTTCACTGGGCTTTCTTGTGCAGCTCTGAAGTCATACCAGGCTCTCAGAGTTTCTAGACAATGATTGGGGTCTTCAAGGGTCAAGTGTCCAGGTGTTTTCTTTGCTGCCTTGTAAAGTCATGGAGTTTTATTAGTGGTGCATTAACCAGTGGCTCCTGACACTGTCTCATCCTCAGAGGTGTGTTGGACCTGACCTGTGTGTGCTTCTGGCAGCAATTGTGTTTTTTGAGTTCATCCTTTCTCTGCAGGTACTTGAGAGACGCTGTGGTGGTTCAGAGTAGCTGTCTTTGTGTACTGAGATGGGCGTGTCAGATGGGCAGTCTTTTTGTTCACTAAGGAGATGGTCCAGCAGGAGCAGGTTGAGGTTGGCAGGCACAGTTACAGGTGAATGGTTCGTGTAAGGATGGGACTGTATGAAAATACCAGCACCAGTTACGTGGTGCTCTCTCTTTTGTCTTTGCCATGCCAGCACTGCAATTTAAGGTCCTAACTGAAGTTTTATTTTGGCAAATGTAATGAAACCAAGGAGCTTTGTGTGGCATGAGGAAGATGGGCCCATGTGTGTGGTTCTGTTTGGAGGGTTTTAAGGAAATAAACAAACTGCATCCCGAGACAGTAATTACCTTTGTATTTGCACGCATGAGGAGGAGAGAGAGACTTAACTGTGCAGGTGTCATTGAGGTGGTGCAGTTATCCTGTGGGCAGGTCTGAGACACGCTGAATTGCAAGTTAGCAAGTCAAGTAAGCAACAGCTGTGCAGAGGGCAATTATTGAAATTAATCTTCCGCTACTTTCCTTTTATGCAATCAATAAGAACATGAGGATGAGTTTGAGAAATGAGATTTTGTTGTAGTTCTGATGCTGGCTGTCACAAATTTGCATTTGTAAAAATAGAATTTTGCTTGAGGAGTAGCTAAAAAGTTTTGTTATTCCTTCTGCCCTGTGTACATGCATAAAAATAAATCTTTCCAATGTTTTGCTCTCTTCTTGGAACGATGGAAACAGCTTTGTTCTCCAACAGAAAATAGGACTGTCCAGGCAGTGTAAATTACTGTGTAGAGCAACTGCTGAATTATACATACACAAATAACTGCATCGATAAAAGGATTTCTTCAGATTCATTCTGGGGTTTGGATACTTGCCCATTTTTATCCTTTCATACAGTTTATGGTCTAGAACAGCAATTAAAGCAACTTTAAGTCAGGAGAGGCACTTTTAACATAAAAAGCGTTAATTGTACAAGACTAAGTTCAGTCCCCACCTCCGGTTGCTCTTCTCCCCAGAGCCTGGTTTAATTAGCAGTCCCTTTGGGATAACAGCAAGCTCTGGTTTTTTTTCTGAGTTCTAATAGCCTGTACTTGAGCGTGACATCAGAAATGGTTCAGTAACATCACTCAGTGCTTCAGATGGAAGATTCTAAGAATCATTTTGTAGCAATTAAAACCACGTGCTTGACTGTGCGAACTGCAGTGCAGTAATGAACCTGTCCAGGAAAAAAACAGTAAGGTACGAGGGTGCTGATGGTTTGACAGAAAGTTACTCCTAGGAAGTTGGTTTATGGTAACACTGATCAAGAAGAGTGTTAAGAGTACACTGGCGTGAGCATCAGCATTGAAATGTGCTGGGACTGCTCAGATGTGCTGAAAAGTGTCTGTGGTCTCTGCCCAGGCCTTGAATGCCTTTAATTAGAGTCTTGGTTTGCTGCAGAAGTAGCAGCATTAATGAAGATCAGTGTTCCCTACTAAATGTAATCCAGCTCCCTTGTAATTGTTTTGCTAAGTGACCAAAATGAAAACAATCTGTTTGATGGCTTGCAGTTCCTGTCATCATTTCACTGCCAGCCAAACAAACACTGTGTTGGAGTCCCATCACTGCTGAGAACTCAGCTATGGTTAATTTTCAAGTGACTACAAATAAATTACTGGAAGTTGTAAACACGCTGCCCCCGATGCTGTTTGTGATACCAAAAGGTTTGCTCGTGGCTGCAGTCACTGTAGTGACTCAGAGTTCCAGCTGTTGAAAGTGCCTTTCTCTTTCCTTTTCCCCCTGTGTGTGCGTGGGGGCCGTTGTTTCCTGCAGGGGCTACGACAACCCCATGGAGAGCGAGATGGTGGAGGAGAGGATTCCGTACCTGCACGGCGGCTACGCGGCCCCGCTGGCCCAGCCCGAGAGGGGCAGCATGGCCAGCATCGACCGCCTGGGGAAGCGCTCGCCCTCCATCGACAGCATCCGCAAGGACCCGCGCTGGAGGGACCCCGACCTGCCCGAGGTCATCGCCATGCTCAGCCACCCCATCGACCCGGTCAAGTCCAACGCCGCGGCCTACCTGCAGCACCTGTGCTACGAGAACGACAAGATCAAAAAGGACGTGAGGCACCTCAAGGGGATCCCCATCCTGGTGGGCCTGCTGGATCACCCCAAGCCCGAGGTCCATCGCAAGGCCTGCGGGGCCCTCCGAAACATCTCCTACGGGAAGGACAATGAGAACAAGGTGGCCATAAAGAACTGCGATGGCATCCCCGCGCTGATCAGACTGTTGCGGAAAACAAACGACATGGAAGTCAGAGAGCTCATTACAGGTGGGTGTCTGTGTTTCCTTTAACGAACCAGTCTTTAGAACAGCCCTTTCATCTCAGGAGGCAGAATTCCTGGAGGCTGGAGCACTGAAGGGGAGTGCAGATCCCTGGCTGCAGCTGTTTGTTTGCTGCGCCACGTGTGGTGTGCGAGCGCCGAAGGCACCCGCGCCTGTCGGGAGAGGATTGAGATTGTCTGGGGCTGTGGTTGGTGCACTCGGGTTTCCTGGCTGAGAGATGGATGGTGCTTGCTGGGATGTAGCACACAGCTGCACGTGGTTGAGTTCCTGGAGCCTAAATGAGTTATAGCAGCTTCACTGGCAGGTAATTTGTAGTGCACTTGCCCTCAGCGTGGTGTAATCATGAGGTAAGATATGCTAATCTAAATCTTTCCTTGTTAATCTCTTATAAAACAATCCTGCTGCCATGTCCCCGCTCCTTCATGTTTATAGAACAGTCAGTCTCCTCAGGAACACTTCCAGCCTGGTGCTGGGGACTCTCAGGCTGGATATGAAGTTGCAGCACTTCTGGGCTGGAAAATTCGGATTTTGGAGAGTGTAGGGCCTGCTTTTGAAATGCTCTGGACGTGGGTTTGTTTGTTGCAGTGATGGGAGAATGGAGCGTTACATTTTAGATTACTGAATCCATGCACACTTTGCAGGGAGTTTTCAAACATTTATAACTCCATTATTTAACCTGTTTTCATTTGAACTTAGTCTTGGACATTGTCCAAAAAGAGTAATAAAGTATATGCCAAGTTTCAAAGTTCAGCCATTAAGTGGAAAAGGGTGGAAAAGTATGTCAGCTCATAAAGTGAGGAGAAAGATATTGTTCTTCAGCCTCCCATAAATCATGAGGAGGGAAATGGATTTCCCTTTCTCTTCTCAGAAGCCGCAGGGGATGTTTGGATGGAGACCAGAGCAGTTCCAATGAATTTCAGTGCCAGAATAGAATTTCTCAGAGAGCTTGTGAGGGTGAAAATGGGTCCAGGGCTGAAACTGTTTACTACCTTATCAGAGCTGGACTCTGCAGGCAGACCTTATTACAGACATGGATTAAGCCATTAGAGGTAAACATCATAATTCTGTAATCTCTTCAAAAAATTATAGTAGCTCTCCAAGTTTTTACTGGTAGTCATAATTCTCTGAGATGAGCAGTGGCCTTGGGTGTTCCATCTGTTCTTCCCCAGCCATTACAGGATATTTAGCAAACTGGGTCTAAATACAGTGTTGAAACTAGCAGGGATGTTTTTGCAGTGAGCTGGCAAAGGAGAGCTGTCTCCTGTCAGAGAACCTCCAAGCAGCACATGCTGGTTGTACTTTGAGAGCTGTCTGTGCTCTGCCTCGTAGCATGGAAACTCTGCAGGTAGCATTTATATTGTATTTGTTGTGCTCATTTAGTATGATGGCAGACTGAAATTTATTTATTTTTTTAAATAAAGAATATCTGTTTATCTGCTGTTCTAGTTTAATCAAAACTCATTTCTGGAGTGCTGAGAAGCAATAAATTTATTTCCTTATATTCAAGAAAGGTGAAGCCAGTCTATAATTTACTCTGAAGGAATATCATTATAATGCTAAGTGGTAATCAGTCACTTCTGAGATGACAAAAACAAACTGGATGTTTTTCCTTTTCACTATAAATGACGATTGCTTTGATTTCCAGTTGATTAATTAGCTTTACAGTTCAAATGCATTTTATTTGGCGGTAGTTCTTGCTAATTAAATGTAGTAGTTTTATTCCACTTTGGTTTTTGTTATTTAGAGCTCTTTATTTCCTCTTACTGAAAAACACCAGGAATACTAAGGGCATTAGCCTAAACAGCTGTCCAGTAACAGATGATGTGCATTTAATCTCCACCTAAGCAGGAATAATTTCATTCCAGCTCTAAACCTCTGTCAGCAGATCCGGTGTGAGACATCCAAGCCCTGGCACAGAAGAGCAGGGTATTCCTGCAATGCCTCTGTGGCCGGGGCTGCTGCCCTTGCAGGCATGTTCAGAGCTCTGGCTGCTCCTGTGCAATTGTCCACAGGAAAAACGAGCCCCAAAAGGCAGCAGAGAGAAACAAGAGCCAGCTGCAAGTGCAGAGGGAGCATTGAGGCAGGGCTGCTGCAGAAGGACCCTGTTGTGCAGCCTCAGAAATCCCCACCTCAGTTCTGGTGTTCTCCTGGAAGCAGTCTCAGCTTCCTATCTGGGGTGCTTTTCCCTGGGCACAATCCCAAGCCTGCCTTTGCCACCAAAGCTTTTCATTGTGTCTGGAGTGAAATCTCTGGGGACTCCATCAGCAATGCGGTGAAAAAAGAGGGAAATACAACAACGTGCAGGGTTTGCTTGTTTATTGCTTTTAACAGGCTACAGAGTGAAGTTCAGTGTGACACGTTGACTTTTCTGTGGTTTAATATTTCTTTAACCCTGAGTGGAGTGGGTGTTTGCTGGCACAGGAGAGCACCACTCTCATCTAAGTGGAGCCAGTGCTGGCTCTGGGACAGCTCTGTGGCCTCTCCTCTGCTGGGCTGTGCTGCAGCACCACAGCTGGCAGAGCAGGACCAGTCCATCTCCAGCTGGCTCTGCCCACTGCTCTGATGGAGGGGAAACCCCCCCCCAGCAAACACCTGAGAGGCTGGTGCAGCATCATGAGGGGGGGGCATGAGGACTGGACCGACTCCCAGGATATGTTTTGGAGAACACAGATGAGATAACTGTGATGTGCAGTTTTGGAAGCAGGCTGAGTGTACTACACATCACTACTGCAGACTAAGCCAGGCTGTAGCTTCTTTCTGTCAGATAGCACTGGTTTTAGAAGAATTTGGAAAACTTCTCTGGTTAGTGCCATCTCTTTGTTTTACCAGATGTTCTCAATATACCCACAAACAGCACTCGAACATGATGTCCCTCATCTGTGGAATGTGTAAAAAATACCTTCAAAACTCAAGATACATTCATAAAATACCACAGATCTCACTTTTCTTTCTTTTAAAAGTGTGGAGTTTAAAAATGTTTCCCATCTACTGCACTGAGAAAAGCTTGATTTAACTCTTAGGATGTCCATAAATAAATCATGAGTGGAGTTGCGTTGAGAAATATTCCATGAATTTCTTACTTGCATCTCTTTCTAGTCTTGCAGCTGTACTGCTGAACTCTCAGTGGATCATTTTCTTGAGAAACCAAGAAATGAGGATTAGGCTGATAAGGAATTAAATCTGTTCTGATTGGGAAAGCTACAAAAGTTTTATCTTGAGTGATAAGGTTTTCGTGGAGGAAATGTTCCCATCAGATATGCAAGACCAAAATTCTATTATGTTCTTTGAAAAGCAATCAGAAGTCAGTAGCTTTAATGAATAATTTTGTTCTTTGTGAGAACATTGGAGTAATTTTGTTGTTTAATGACATTGCACTGATTTTAAGTGGTGCAGGACGTGATTTTCCCATTGCCAAATTGTCTGTAATTGAAAAATGATTGACCTTCAGAATGCTCTGCAGATGAAATACTTTGATCTAATGCTTGAATGGCACCTGGCAGATGGATGAGCTGGCTCAGAGTTCCCACCTCCTGGGCACTGGTGAGTGCTGGGATCCTGCTGGCTGCTCCAGCAGGGGCTCCTCCTTGGAGTGCCCTGCTGCCTTCAGCGTGCTGACCACAGGCCATTCCACTCCTCCTTTTCTGTTGGAAGGCCTGGCAGAAGAAGGTCCCTTTTCAGGGTGTGTCCATGTGGGGGTTCCCAGCCTGAGCACCCCCTGAAGGTGCCCAGCTCCTGCTTAATGTGCTGAAAAATCAGGGGTGGTGCTTGGAGTGGGAAATAGGTGAGTGTATTACAAATAGTGTGTATGAATAAAATACTGATCATGACTGTGGTCATCTTCTGAAAAGCAGTAGTTCATCTCCTCTGTCTGTTCCTAAATCTCCTCCAGTCTGCGGTCCAAAAGGCCAGCGCTTACAGTGGAAGTGCATGGAAAATGTAGATAACTTCATTTTCCTTGTGCTGCCGTGTTAGTGACAGGATTTCTCTTGAGTGCTATTCATTTGAATTGATTAAACTTAGAGTTTTAAAAACAGCCTTTCCAGCTTGTTAGATCATTAGTGTGTTATGCTGATAGAGGCGGGGAATGATTCTTAAAGATGCGTGTCAAACTTACAGGGATTTTTCTTTTTCACTCGGATTTTTTCTTACACTGCAAAATGCTACAGTCTGATCTGAATTTGTTCCCTGGCTGTCACTGTCAGGGTGTTCCACAGAATTTATTTTCTCTAGAGCTGGAAGGATGCTGGGATTTAGAGTTCTTGGTTTCATAATTTTGAATTATCCATTGGGGCCAGTGGTTCTCTTGGCCTGGATGGGGTTACCAGCATCAGAGCTGCTGATTACAGTGCTGCAGTCCAGCTGGAACACTGTTGAATTCCAGTTGCATTTAGTCTCTTGAAATGACAACTGGTGACTGAGAATGTGGGAGGAGGAGGAGTTTGGGGGTGATGGGTTTATTTTACACCCTGTGGTTGAAGGTATTGAAATACAGACACAAATCTCTTAAGTCTTAAAACAAGCAGAAGATTTGAGCACTGGAAAACTTTATACAATCCTGTAATATTAGAGCTCTTGGAAATTTTATGGGTAATTTTGGCTTTTTACTTGCATGTCTGATTCTTCAGCAGTGAAATCTGCCTTTGTAGTTGCACTGCAGAGATAGCAGATCATGTCACTGCTCCAGGGGAGGGGCAAGGCAGGCTCTCATTTGGGGTGCAGAAGTAGTATGTGCCTTTAGGAAAGAGCTTTTAAAACTGAAGGGCTGTCAGATACTAAAACTTCCTTCCCCATCCCAGCCCTGTCTCCAGTTGCACCATTCTGCAGTCCCAGAAGAACAGGATCCTTAGGAACACCGTACTGGGTTCCTTGGCTGATCCATCTTTCTGTGACTGTGGGTTTTAACCGCTGCAGATACCAAATGCTCCATTTATGGTCCTGTGAGGGAACCCTGGCATAACCCTCCAGAACCAGGGAATTCTGCACCCCCTGCTCTCCATTTCAGTCTGGGTTGGCTCCAGAGATGATTATCCGATACAATTTCCTGTGATTTGCCCATCTCGTTCAGTGCTGGCTGCTCAGATTCTGGATTTGAATTTTGGAGTCCTGAGCCAGCCATGCATTTAGGGATTTAATTGTAGTTATCATTTTTATATCAGTAAGTCTGATATGCTTAAGGAATTGGTATTTAATAACTAAAGAAAGACTGTCTAGTGAAGTATTTAAAATTAATGGGGTAGCTTACATGTCAGTTTTTGTAGTCTTATTATAAATATTGATTTGCATTTATTTTTTGTATGTTATATGAGACAGTTCATTGTGAGAAGTAAAGGCTTTCTTCAGTAACAAAATGGATCCAATTAGCCTTTTCTGCTTGGTTTTGGGTTTTTTCCTATTTTCCAACAACTGATGTTTTGCAGCAACAAAGGAGTTATTTATTGTAATGGGTACAAAGGGAAAAAAAATCATTTTACCTACACAGTCTTGTTTTAAAACTAAAAAAGCAGGTTATAAAAGTCTTATACAGTGTGTTGTCTCTGAATGGCAAGGGCAGTAGGCCAGAAAAGCATTATTATTGTATGGTTTTAGAAGACTGAAATTCTGGTGTTCATTCTGTTGTCTGCCCCCAAGCTTCTTTATTGGTTAACATGGAATCCCAAGCCTAAACAGGTGCCTGGGGTTTGTAACACTCGCTTTGGATGGGAGACACCCCAGGTCTGACTCAAAAACTGTAGGTTTTACAGCTTCAGGAGGTGGAACCAGAAGGTCAGGCCGTTGCTGTGAGGGTGTGTAAGTGGAGGGGGAGGTCCCAGCTTGCCCTGTGCTGTGCACACATTCGTGCTGTGTCTGCTCAGGAGGGCTCTCCTGCATGGTCTGTGCCATCCAGCCTTTCCCTTGGTGTCTCTGCAGTGCTGCTGCTCCTCACACTTCTCCCTGGAGACAGCAGGGTGTGTCTGGCTGCCTGCAAGTGGTGTTGCTGCCACTTCTCAGATGGTACCAGACTGGGTCTGTGCACAAGCTGTCTCTGAAGTGAATGTTGTGTTTGAGTCCTACTCTAATGAGTAATAACTGTCAGGACACTGATACAGGTCTGCTGGAAGTTACATCCCTTATCTAACACCGGGTGCTTTGTAGTTGTAAAGCTGTTGTTCCATTATGCTGCTTTTGATGTTTGACTTCTGTCTGCTTTGCCTCATAATTGAGGTAAAAATGAAAAGACAGAGGAGTTTGGGTTTTCAGCTTCTTCAAGGAATCATATGCTTGTGGCACCAGGAGATTTGAACACAGATATTGCCTGTGACAGGAAAATGTGAGAGTAAATAACAGAGAGGAGACTTGAATGAAATATTATCTTCTGCAGAAGATAAGCATAAGATCAATGATCCTCCAGAAATTCATCCCTCCTAGGACTTGCTCAATATACTTGTCTGCTGCATTGGATGAATTTTTACTTGAGGCATAGCTAGACTTTAAAGTGTAACAAAATTTGTGTATAGCAGAAAAATCCTATTAATCTCCAATAGCACATCACTTTTATGTACTCTGTTTGTAGGGCTTGATGAGTTCAGCAGTATTCATGTCTTGATAAAAATGTATCCATGCTTTTGGAAGGTTCTGTTTCAGCAGCTGTGGAATTTTCCCTAAGCTAGTGCCGGTCTGGCTCCTCACCGAGTTGTTTTGCCTTTTTGTTTAGTTTTATGATTTAACCTTCAAGCGATTCTCTGCGGATCCAGTGATTCTGCTTAATCTGGAGATTTTAAGTGGTTGCTGTTCAATAATCCCCATTTCTCCTGCAGGCACCCTGTGGAACTTGTCCTCCTACGAGCCCCTGAAGATGGTGATCATCAACCACGGGCTGCAGACGCTGACCAACGAGGTGATCATCCCGCACTCGGGCTGGGAGAGCGAGCCCAACGAGGACTCGAAGCCCCGCGACGCCGAGTGGACCACGGTGTTCAAGAACACCTCTGGCTGCTTACGGTAGGCACGGCTGGGCTGGCACTGTCCAGCTCCCTGGCTGCACTCCGTGGAGGGACTTGGCTCAGAGGTGCAGGATCACATATCCTGACTTGGCAGGGACAGCCTGGGGGCTTTGGCTGCCCCAGCCTGTTGTGGGAGTCACCAGTGGGGTCAGTGTGAGGGGCAGGTCGTGTGTCCAGGCTGGGGGAGGGTCCCTGTAACATGCAGAGTGACCCAGGTAAGGTTACACCACCAGGCTAAGTCCAGGAAGGGCACTTTGCAGAGTGAACTGTGCTGCAGGCACTGAGAGTCACAGTGACCCTTTTACTCCCTGCAGTGGGACCAGTGGGCTCTTCCTCCCAACTTTGGGTGCTTTTCCTGCTTCCCTTTATTTATCTGAAAACTGTGTTTTCAGACAACTCCTTCCTTGGGTTTTCGGTCCTTCCCTATGGAAAGGCATTCTTTGCAGTTGGAAGGGAACTAGTTTGGAATTACCCAGACCTTGAAATACAGACCCATTTGAGGACACACTCCTATTTTAAGCAAAGGTAACTTAGGACCTATGGGAAATAAGTGAAGAACCTGAACTACTGACCATTTAGGAACCTTAATATTCCTTCTGCTTTTCCTTGCAAAGGAGCCTTTCCTTGTGAGATACTGTCTTTACATTTCTGGAAGCACCTTGAGAGCAGGACAGTACGTGCTCCTGGAATCAGGAGCAGTCTGAAAGACTTGGGAGAACCAGTGTTCCCTAAACAGTGTTGTCTCTCATTTCCCTTTTGAGATGAAACAGTGATGCCCAGTTTAGACTCTTCAGCTTTGTGATGAAGTCAATTAGTTTGAGCAAAACTAATACAGATTTGGCGTCGTACCTTCTGTTGCTCCCAAGTGCCCTCCTGTCAGATTTCTGCTGATTAATGCATCTTCAGACACTGGTTCATTTCTGTTTCCTGGGCTTGTGGTCTCTAAATTGCAATAACTATTCCCTTGAGTAACTCCACAAATGCAGAAAGTAATAAAAAGTGTTCTGAAAGGGCCCATTACTGAAATTATTTGCAGTCCCACTGGAGACTGAGGTCCTTTAAGCAGGCTCCAGACACCATAGGTTTTTACTTACCAGTGTCTCATTTTCTAACGGTGTTCTGCAAGAGGAAATTAGTCATGGTAGGGGAATAAAAGGATTATCTCAATGGAAATGAGATTCTCCAGTAAGTGTAGACAATAAATTGATCATTAGTAGACTAGCCTAATCCACATCATAAAACTTCATTAGTATGTGGATCCACTTGAACTTCTGCATTCCAGGATATCTTTGGGTTTGTTGGTTGGTCGAGGGGGTTTTTTATCATTTAAGAGCGAGGCACTGGTTCTACAGGAAACACAAAAGCTCGTGCCCCTTTGGACAGCGTATTTCTAAAGTAAATGAAGAGGGGTGTGGAGCATGGCAGTAATGAGATATGTCAGAGAATTTGAACTTCTGATGTCTAAAAGTGGTTCTGATGCACTTAAAGCACATCAGGGCAGCACCCAGGGAGTTAAGACTCTGCTGTTGATGCAGGGGAGTTGCAGTGAGATAAGTGAGTCCAGGGCAAGGCAGATGCAGGAGCAGGTGGATGTGAGCTGTCTTCCAGCTGATTATGCTTCCTGCATGTTACATACCTTTTGTAGAGCACTTCAGATCTAGGGATGTAAATGGACATAGCAGAAGTAATTAACATTAAAACTGTTGGAAATAATTTTACATTGTTTGTTGAAATCTTCTGCAGCTTACCCTTAAAAGCAGCAGCAAGATGTGATAGTTAACACCAGCAGAGAGTAAATTGTTGCAGCCATCTGTGTGACAGACGTCAGTGTTAAAAACCCCTTTGCCTGCGCTTCTCTCATTGACACAGTAGCTGGTCTTAGAAATTCAGTTTTCCATGAATGGAGCTTATTGCAGACTGTTCACCAATTTGATATTTAATTGGGAGGTTAGTCCTCCTGATAGTGTACCAGCCTCCCTGCTCCCCTTTGGAAGTGAGCCTCAGGTGTGGGCTGCGTTGTCTTCCAAAATAACAGAGGCTCTTTGAGCTCCTGAGGTTTTGGATGCCCTTGCAGTTGAGGTATTTAAGCAGAAGACAGGCATTATGCATGCAGGATGGTGTTCATTTCAGGATCATTTTTTCAGTTAATGAAGTTTATCAACAGATGTGGGCGAGTTTGTTTCAAACTCAGTGATTCACAGCATGAACTGCCAGTTAATTATTACTTCCCTTTTTTTTTTTAACGCTGCTTACTCATCTTTACTTTGTTCCTAATCTGGGTCTCTCCTTTGATAATGTGGAGCCATGGAAACACTTACTTCAAAATGATTAAAAACAAGTAATTAAAAAACCCCAAACCCCACAATTACAATTATTTACCTTTACCTCTTCTTCAAAGCTTGCTCCATCCCACTTTCCTTTCCAGTCCTGTCCTGTCAACAGTGCTGCTTTTCCTCTGTGTAGTTTGTGAGTGTCTCTCCCTCCTCACTGGGGGGGTTCATGTCCTGCTTGTGGAACATCATCTGGAACAGGATTGGTGTGTTCTCTGTGCCATCTCACTCTGTACTTGACTTGCCAAAAACTCTGCTCCCGTAAATGTTTTGGGAATGCTGCGTATTCCTCATTGCAAACTTGGCAGCACATCCACTTTGCAAAGGATGATCCGGTAATGAAATTTATTGGATGCTTTTTCTGTAATCTTTACCAAGATTTCATAAGCTAGTGCAGGTGATGGTAATTTTGTCTCCATTCTCATCCTGAGATAGGAGAAAGAGCCTTTCTCTTGCACTGCTGTGTTTTGTTCTAGGGGCAGAGCCAGTATGAGGAATGCATCTGCAATATCCAGAACCATTTTACTACTGAAATTCTATAAAATGGAAGTATTCTTATATTCTGTTGAAGCTGGTAGAAGAAACATGTATGGTGGAAGTCTGGAAAGGAACAGTAAAAAACAAAGCCAAGTGAATTTTTTGGTTATGAAAAAGTAGGACCAGGGAAGAAGTAAGGAAGGCATTTGGTGCTAGGAGGATCATTAAATGTGCACAGATGTTCCTTCATTTCATTTACAGTTTTTATGTCTTCACATTGCATTTTATTCTTCTAGGTATGTGGAGAATGTCTGTTCTGGTTAACTGTCCTTTTTTTGTGGTCTTCAAACTCCTAAGTCCCTACTGGGATTTGCAGTTTTGTCTTCAAATTGTACTGCAGTTGAAACAATGTGATGATTTGGTGCATCTTAACAAAACCATTTTGTGGTCCCTTCTGCAGCCTTGACCCAGACCTTGAGATGCTCTGGGAGAGGAGTCTGAGCTGAGTTTTTTTTGTGGGAAGGATGGAGCTGTGGCTCATGTGCAGCCAGGCAGGGCCAGAGGCCTTCACTGGGTCCCCAGGGTTCTCCTCGGGTGTTTCCCTGCTCTGGAAGGGAATTCCTCATCTGTGGGTCACAGCACTGCTGGAGTCACATCATCTTCTCTGTTTTCTGTGGACATACCCACCATCATTCCTAGTTCTCTGCAAGCTGCGAGGATTTTAATGGTTTAAAAATTAAATTCATTCTGGGCTTAATTGCTGTTTTCTGCCTAATTACTTTTAATTCTCCCTTGGATTTTTTCACTTCTAAGAGGACAGAGTAGAACTTAGTTCCTAAATTGCCAACTTTCTAGCCTGATTCCTGTGCTAAACTGACCTGCTGTCAACAAATGTTAAATGAATTAATTTGCATAGCAAACAGATGCAAAGTGCTCCTTTTTCCAGGGGTACCATCTGTAGCTGCAGCATTTCTTGTCAATTCTCCAAGTACACAGAAATTGGCATTCACAAACAGCCTCAGGGTTCAGAGCCCCGGCCCTGGGGTGTGAACACAAACAAACTGCACCCACCTGACTTGCCCAAAAACCACATATTCTTCAGATCAGGACTGCACAGAACAGCTTGTCCAACAGCAGCTCCGGAGAAGGGAAGGGGCAGCCTGGTGGCTGGAGCTGGAACACGAGACCTGGGAAGTGTGGAGTCATTTGCTGTTCTGCTGCTGCACTGACATAATCACAGGCAAGATTAATGGCAGAAACGTTTCTGTGGTCTGACTTTCAGTAGCCATCTCTCCTTCTGCTTTTGAGAGTCAGGCTTGGGAGTGGATCTGGGCTCCAGTCACTGATCCTCTCTTTCCTGCCTTTACTGTGGGACTGGCAGCTCTGCCCACACCTTCCCCTGAAGTTGGTAAATACCAGGAGTTCAAGGATTTTGAAGGGGTTGATCCTGGAGACATTAACTGGGAGTAAGCAATTCCTGTAGGTATAAATTAAGAGTTTGCTCCCATGGAATCAAAGCCTAAGAGGTCTGGTAAGCGTGAGATAAGGACTCGGGGGATTCAGAGCCAGAAGCAGAACTCCAGCAGGTTGAGAAATGATGTGTAAGTATCTGCAGGCTCCTCTTAGGTACTTCAGAGGAAAGACGACTGCAAGAGCTTGATGGTAAATCATTAATGCTTAGGATGTGTCAGATAGAATTTTTTAATGAGAATGTCTTAAGCCTTTTCTTTCTGAGGAGGGCAGGAGCGTTGTGCTGCCTGCATGTACGTCGTGTCCTGCAGACGTAACTTGCTTCAGTCACAGGCTAACAGTGGCAGTGGATGTGTTCCTGGAGTCCTGGTGCTTTGTGTTTCTGTGAACACAGCGTGTGTGTCCCGTGCACCCACAGCACAGGAGTGTGTGTCTGTGAGGCATATGGAGGGGAAGAAGGTTTGTCAGGCAATATGTGGTCTTGTTTGGGCAGAAGAGGTCTCTTGTCTTTGCACCCTGCAAACAAGTTCAGTGAGTGGATCAGGGACTGGTGGTGTGCCTGTTCTTCCTCCCCACCTCTGCTTGCCCAGTTCGAGGAACGAGAGGAAGAAAGGCTGTCAAAGCCAGGTGCTTATGCCCTTCTTTCTTATGAATGATTAATGTGTGGCTTTTCTCTGAAGAAAAGTGCCTGGGAATTAGAGCTTTCAAAGTGCATTACTTT